AAAGGATTTCTTTTGAGTCATTAGGAGAACACATGAGACCATAGCACTGGCACCGGACAGCGTCCGCACCAATCAAGGGCCCAGCTGTGAAACTGGCGCAAAGTCAGAGTCCCATTAAGTCAGTCAGATAAGCTTCTCCAGTGCAGTCAAGGGGCCCTCGAGGAGCTGAAGAGTTCCCACTGTTGGCCGGGGGCCGGTACTGAACAAGGGTTTTGTTAACCTAACAAAGACACGGCCATACCCCTTGAATGACAGTCATGAGGCCTGCGCTTGCTTCACTCAGGCCTCCCCTGATGCAAAAGGGAACCCGTTTCTCGACTGGGGCCTCCAGAGTAACTTAGGCCCCTTAGCAGCGTGTCTTGTACCATTCCAGACAGGTTTCTGGGTCAATCATTAGCCAAAGGAAGAAAATGGCAAGGATCCGAGAACGTCCACCATAAAGTCTCCTGCATCGTTCAAATGACCTTGAGATAATTATATGGCAACTTAGGCGGTCAGGGGCCCTCGGGGCTAAAGCGGCCCTTTTGGATACGGGTTAGGGGTCGCGGAAGCCGGCGGGCTTATTGGCCAAATTGGGATAGGTCTAGGGACACGGGTTATTAGTTGGGGAATCGCAGCGCCGCGGGGACCCCTTAGACGTTGAAAGAAATAACCTCTTCTAGTCAGGCGCCCCTGGTAGTGTGAGGGGACAGAAAACCCCGGTGCGGAAAAAGGGGCCATGCCCTTCAAAAGAGGTGAGGAGGCTTTGTCGGTGAGAAAACTCAAGGCTCGGACTTCGGGGCACAGACCCCGCACCGACGATGGTAACGACGGGGGCCTATGGAAGTTGTTCGGGTTAGAAGCTTTTGCGGGAGTAGTTTTGTCATGTAAAAGTTATTATGTTAGAATTTCTTACATTTCAAGTGATTTCGTGTGGAAGCCTTTGCATTAAAAGCTTTTCTTATTAAGACATTAATGTGTTCGAAGTTCTTGTATTAGAAGCAATGTAGCATTGCAGTTTTTGCGTCGGAAGTTTTGTTACGCAGTATTAATGTCGCGCAACAGTTTTTACGTTAAAAGTTACGTTTCGTAGAAGTGTATGCGCTGGAAGCTCTTCCATTAGAAGCAGTGCCGCGAAGATGGTTTTACGTTTGAAGTGTTGTCGAGGAAGATAAATGACCCCGATGTATTTTTGTGTTAGAAGTTTTGCCACGTAGAAGTTTATGCACGAGAAGCTGTTGCATTAGAGAGAATGTCGCGTAGGAGGTTTTGTCTAATAAATTGTACCGTGCAGATATATCTTCTTAAAGCTCGTGTGGTGGAAGATGAGTATTTAGCAGCCATTGCGTTAAAAGCTGTGCCATGCGACGCTAATAGTGTAGTCGTTACGCTGCACGTCTGGGATATCAGGGATGAGAGGGTCGATTTCCCGCGATAACCTGCCCTTCCAGCCAGAGTGAAAACCAGGCCACGTCACATAGCCTCGGCAGCTGAGTGCGTCGTTATGTCCCACTGGCATGCACACAGGTGTTTTCCTGTGGAACCGGTGTTAAGTGCCCAGGGTATTTAATTTGATCCCCGTGCACAACTTTACTGTGTACATTAGCAGCAACGTCGCATAGCAGTTGCTGTGTTGGAAGTTCTGCCGTGTAAAAGTTATGCCACGGGGAAGTGTTTTCTTCGGAAGTCATCCCGTGGAAGCTGAGTAGTTCGGAGTGAAGTCATCCCGTGGAAGCTGAGTAGTTCGGAGTGAAGTCATCCCGTGGAAGCTGAGTAGTTCGAAGTGAAGTCATCCCGTGGAAGCTGAGCAGTTCGGAGTGAAGTCATCCCGTGGAAGCTGAGTAGTTCGGAGTGATGGCGTTAAAACTTCTGTCGTGAGGCTGCTGTTAAGTGCCCATTGTCATCAGTTGCATCCCTCTTTACAAATTACATAATATTGTAGGAATGAATATTAATGATTTGTATAACATGCATCATTCAAATGACTCTCTATTCCAAGCGTCGTCCCGTCTATTTCTAGCGTCTTGAATTTCTAACCAGTCCGCTCTTATTCCTACTATAACCTTTTAAGCGTTCAGTGCACCAGTACTAACATTACCAATGATTTACATGCAGTTTAGCTTGCTTTTTTACTATTCCACTTCGTTCCATTGACTCACAGCATGTTTTCCGCGCTATTGTTTGGTTCAGTTTCTGCCAGATTTTGCAACCAGTATTATCTGCCAGCCGTTTTCAACCTGTGCAAACCGGCGGGCGGACACTGCGGCAGCCAGATGCCGCCATCCATGCAGGCCATTAAATCTGTCGACCCAGCCACGTAGCATACATATCGCCACATCACGCGTCTGCCGCCGGCGTATGGTGTTATGAAAACAAATCACAAAGCGCTGTTAATGCCAATCGTATATGTAATGACTAGAATATCTCACCCCTTCCGTATGCACGTATACATTGGCAACGCATTGCATTGCTTTACCGCACTCGGCCGCTCTATGAATATACCTGATCGCTGGGAAAGTCTGGTGTATGTCAGGCGGCTGCTCTCAGAAAACATTTCCCACCTCATCTCCCACGCAGAACTTTTTACGGCCTGGCAAACGTAACTGCTGAAACTAAGTTGATTGTCAAGAGGGGCTAACCGGATCAGTCACTCTGACGGAACGGTTGAGCGTAGCCAATGACGCATGGATTGCAAACACACCTGTTGGCACCCTGGTGATGTGGATGCGACGGGCTCATCCACACCTCTTAAAGTAAATCCGTGTGTCTTGAAGCCTATTGCGCATCGCGTCAACGTTCATTTCAGTTTTCCGTTAAAGGTTGAAAAGAGTTACACTTACGATTGCATTTACGACTTTGGCTCGTTTTCGGTGTGAGATTATGCAGTCGACGCGGCCCTAAAACCCAAATATTGTCATCGATCTGCAAAGGATCTATATTGAAGTGCAACCATTTCGACGAAAACGTACGAAAGGCGTTTCTCTTCAATTCTAAAACACTTGTTGCTTAGATTATTTTTCAACTTGTTTCCAAATGCTAAAAACTATCTAGATTCCATATCAAACATAGCTTCTTTATATTTGATGCGTACCTTACTGAACTGCATCAGATGAGGCCAGCTCTGTGCAGTGTAGAGACGGGTCGGAACACAGCTGGCAACGGGGGCGTTCTTCGCGGCCGTTTGATTAATCTCCACCGACAGAGGAGGGCGAGAGCTCACGCGGCGTCCCTGAACGCCTGACCTGGGCGCGGGGGGGGGGGGGGGCGCCGGCCGCCGTTGTTCCAGCCGCCGCGCGGCCAACTGCAGCCGAAACATACAGTTTGGGAGGGCGTTGACGCAGCCACACATGTATCGAGTGTGCAGGAGCGTACAGATGGCCTCTTAAGTTCGTTGTGCGCAATCGCTAGGGCGACTTTGGTACGCGTATTTTCGTGATCACAGTGAAGATTCGTTTTGACAGACAGCAAGATCCGTCGCTCTGATTTACATTTTGACAAAAGTAGTTCTTCCGACATAATCCCATGTATATTTTGACGCAGTTTTTATGATTATGTTGTAATGGTAATGCATGTTACTCATTATATGCTTGAGCTTCCACATTGTACTGTGTAGTCCCAGTCCTTTCAAGCGCAACAGTTCAACGGTATATCACTTTGTGAGACTCCGGAAATCGAGTTTAGCGAGCTACTGGACTTTGAGCGTGGACGCCCTGGCAGCGTCGCGATGTATCTGACCCGGTAGGCATGCCGTCACGCTGTGCCCCCACGTTCACTCTGATCTGGGTGGGGCACGCTCCGGGAGGCGTCCTGCGTCGCCGGCCAGGGGATCGAGCGAGTGCTCCGTGCAGAAGCCTCTGAATGAAAGCCACTCCCAAACGGATCATTGGGGATCCGTGATGACGGAAATTCATGCGTCTCATACGCGCTGGAGAGAGGCGACTGAAATACCATCTCAGTCCGTTAATCCTCATCTGGCTTCCGTTCCGAGAGAACGGTTTATTGCGTTGCCTTGGGTCTTGGAGGTAGTGTGAATAACACGGGGCGCGCGGGGCGCGCTGTCCACTGAATGATAACAGCCATTCTTCAATATCACATGGTTTTGGTCTGTCTGATAGTCTGACGGCGATCTATATGTTTATTTGGTTGTTCTTTTATTCGTTGACTTATTAGCTAATCTTATAGTTTTCCACTTGTTTCAATAATCTATTTCTACAAGATTTATCGATCCACGTTTGACATCGTCACGTATCATTCGCCCGCAAAACAAAGTCAGATTGATGAATTTCGATATTCGGTGACAATTACGGAAGTCCTATGAAGACGTGTCGCCTAACTTCTCGCACGAGAACAAATTAGTCATCAAAAACAGTGGCATAGGTGCAGCGTGTGGGACTATTCATGTGCATTTTTTAACAAGTGACCGGCTTGAACTCGCGAAGAGTTTGCTGCTTCGAGATGTAGAAAGGGGGCTTCACCAATTTATGGCCCGATTTGGTAAGCACTTGCACTCAAACATGCGTCTGCATAAGACAGGTAGTATTAGCCTTATTCCTCGGAAAAAAACAGGAGAATGGAGATATCGTTTGGTTGATATTTCGGCAACATGCCTTTATCGAAACATCAACCAAACTATATCTCCATTCTCCTGGTTTTTCCGAGGAATAATGTCAATACTACTGTTTTATCTATGTAAATACTGTTCCTCGCTAATGCACTGAACAACTTACAAACACGCATCCAGTGGCGCGAAGTTTTAAGTGCGCGTAAGGCCTTAAGAACCCATGAAACGGCCAGATTCTTATGATGGGCTTTCGCGATGTTTCCCACATCAAGCGAAAAGTGGCAGGCGAGTACAGTCTTATTATATGGTCTACATCTCATTGTGTGCATCTAGCTCTCTTCTGACGTACGTCGAATGACGTTGCCAACGACCCCACGTTGAAAACTCGAGCTTGGTCAGATCATGGGTATACTGTGAGTGGCGGCCAGTAGGGTGAGTGACGGCTCGCCTCCTCCGCCAGGCCTCCGGTGAGCTGCAGCGTCTCGCGCAGTCCGGTGACGGCGACGCCGACACTCCGTGCCGGCAGCATGTTGTACGGGCCGGGAGCGAGCGTGCTGCCGCCGCACGGCTGCCCCCCGCAGTTGGGCGGCGAGCCGGCGTCGGCCGCCGCCTGCGACTTGCTGTGGGGCCCGCTGACGGCGCCGCCGGACCCACAGGCCAGCCCGCACTACCCGCACTACTACGCCTACCAGTCATACCCGGTGCATGGCTACTGCCCCAGCTACAGCTCGCCGCTCCCGCCGAGCGCGCCGAGCTACTGCGCGCCGCCCAGCGCGCCGGCCGATCCGCCGGGCTACGTCTGCCTGACGCCGCTGACGCCGCTGACGCCGGCGCCGCGCTCGCCGCCACGATCCGAGCCAGAGTCCGGCGAGAAGAAGCGGCGCGGCCGCAAGAAGGGCCAGACACGCGACTCGGGCGCCTGGACGGCCAACAAGCGGCTGGGCCGGCCGCTGGGCACCACGCGCGCCAACGGATACAAGGTGGGCTGCCGCGGCGGCCGACGCAAGGGCACCACGCGCGAGAACGGCTTCAAGGTGAGCGGCGGCCGGCCGCGCGGCACCACACGCGCCAACGGATACAAGGTCAGCACGGGCCGCCCTAAGGGCACCACGGTCGCCAACGGCTACAAGTGCAGCAGCGGGCGGCCGCGTGCCTCGGCTACTTCCGGCCCGGACAGCGGGCCCGGCGCTGTCTGCCTCAAGCACTCCGACTCGCCGGCCGGTTCCAACTTCGGCGTCGAGCAACGGGGGGACGGCGAGATGCACGAGAGCCCGCACAACACCGGCGACGACAGGGCCCCCTCCCCAGGTCAGTGGTACCCGTGGCAGGGACGGCGGCTCAGGTCAGTGGTATCCGTGGTGGGGACAGCGGCTCAGGTCAGTGGTATCCGTGGTGGGGACAGCGGCCTACGCTGAAGTGCACATTACAAAATCGAGCCAGCATGGTCTGACATACAAGGCGATGCGTGGAAGAGCTTCTAATGTTTCAGGCATGTTAAACGCATAGCGGCATTATACAGCATGGTGTTGCATGAATACATTCGTGAGTCACATTTCCATATTTCGCGGTAAAAATGCGCTGCTCCACCAGTGTCCTTAATAGTGTTGTACACGCTATAACTCCCGTCCCAAGTAGTATTTATTATTCTTTGCTCAGCGTTGTCTGCCGTTAGTTAAATGGTGGTGCTTTTTTCTTCAAATTGCTGGTGAAGCTATAGCTAGCAAATTTTTGATTAATAGGACTACCGTCGTTAGCGCATCGTTATCCGCACCATTGCTCGTCTACAGCGTCATCTGTGCCTTCTGATCCCGTCTCGTACGCTCCGCGACCCTGAAGAGCCCAACAAGCAGGCAGAGTGGCTCCTTATCTCTTTTTTCCGCAAGCATGTCTCCCGGGGGCGTGGGTCCGCGAACTGGGTGCGGGCGGCTGATCAGTGAAAAACGTGGTATTCTATCTCTAAAATATTCAACAAACATATTTATCCCCGGATTTAGTTCACTTTTTTCTCGAAGTTGGGGGGGCTGGACCTTCTTCCACCTCCAGCTGATTGGAAAACGGCACCCAGATGCCACCGGTAGATTCCGGGAGCAACAGGATAGCGAAGGACGATATTGACCTGTGATAACGAAGGACAAAGTCAAGGTGACAGTAGCCTGGTCTGAAAGGACGTCAAGCACTGCAACAACTCGAGCACGTCGATATGACCCGATCCACTCGTATGATTTATACGAGTAGGACATATACCCGCCTGACTTTGTCACTACGACTGCATTATGTGCCATTTGACGCAGCCAGATACGTCCTGATAAGGGTGTCGGTTGTCCGACTCAAAGGGATCATACTGGACTTTTGTTAGATTCCTTAGGTGCCAGGCTGCACTGCTCCTTTTCTATTCTTAGCTTCAGCTCGATGTAAGGTCCGGTGCGCAAAGTTCTCTGCCTTAATGACGTCACCTAAAATTATGTGAACAAAAGGTGGCAGTGGTGTGCGTTACATAACGCGACCAGGCCGAGCATTCGTGAGCACGACTCTTGAATTTAGATGTTACCAGGAAATAGGGCCAGGCCTTAATGGTGCTGTATGTAGATGGAACGTGTGGCGCTGTGGGATGGAATGGAATTGACTACTCCATTAGCCGTCCTGTTCAGCGTAAGGCATGGCATCGCAGTCCAACGTAGAGCGCTAGGACTCGATACGGTAGGCTGCTCCGTTTATATATTGTGCGTCGCTCACGCTGCGTGTTCTGGCCGCGGTTCATCACTCCAACTGCGCATAATCGTCAGTTGGTCCGCTGGAGAGCCAGCGACACACGCACACAGCGGACGACCACATACGACGCGACCAGGAGAACCGTGAGCGCGTGGTCTCGTATGTCATGGCTATCCGTGCATCAGAAATGCATTATGCTACTAGTGCGTTTGGTGGGGGAGTATATACTGGTTGGCATCCGGTTGCTCCTTTGATTACATTGGCTTTTGACCACAATTACAGGCGACTCTCCGTCGAATGCTATCAGCTGCAGGGCGCGGCTTCTCAATGGGCTTCGAGTGACACTTTCCCCAGCGTTGGCAGCATGGCGCCAGCCCTGTCCTCTGTGTTCGCATACAGGCCCGCGACCGTTTGTTTACATAAGGCCACAGCTGTGCGGCGAGCAGCGCTGGCCGCCTCGCGAGTGGCATCACGCCGCCACCAGGAGTGGCGCCACCGGAGTGATGACGAGCTGGATCCCGGGACGGTACCGACCCTCCACCACCTCAACACCCCTCCCTGACACTGGCTGCAGACCACACGCGACGGTACCGACCCGCCACCACCTCGACACCTCTCCCTGACACGGGCTGCAGACCACACGCTCAGTCCTCCACGGTGGCGTGGTGAGGCATGGGACTTTGACACAAAAAGACTGTTTTTCTCGTTTAAGATGATAAAGGATTAGCTTGGCTGTGTCCAGTTGATCGCTGGTGCAGAACCAGCTAGTTAGGCTTTAATGCACGGACACGTGTCCAACAGTTCTCGAATGCGGGAGCGAGTAAGTATACACAAGCCCAGAGCACACCCCGTCGTCCCTTTTCACGACACGAGCTGACGTGTTTTCGAGGGAGAGTGAGTAGTGACTGAAGTGTTTTTGTCAGAAAGTGAAGCGCATCCTGACTTGTGTCGAGCATTCCCATAAAACTGCATGAGAAGCACCGTCGATCATATTACGTTTATTGGTATTTCCTGCTTTCCAGATATCTCCAGCTGTCCTGAGGAAATCAGCAACTCTACCTGGATGCCTCCAAAAATAGGTAAGCCGATCATTTAAGGCCGCTTCACGCTGCTTTAACTTATTCTAAGCCTTACCCTTGCAAGACAATGTAACTCCATGTAAAGTAAGAGCTAGTCAGTTTTAATCCACTAAAGATGTGACTTTCATGCTGGTGGAAGTGGCAAATGAGGTGATTGTATCAAACTGGGAGACATTTTGTCCATCGGCATTCTTCTTTTTAAAGCGAGCGTTCCACATTTGTGTGGGGTTTCAGGTGGGATAGCCATTTTTAGTATCATTCGGTGTAGTGTACAGTCCTGTCCTCTTAAAAACCCCAAACCGTTTAGTTTCTGAGCTTGACGTCCGCAAAGCTGTACAGACTATTTCGTGCATACTATTTCAAGGTCAACCAGGTATGCATGACGCTATAAAAACGCCACTCAAATGCTGTCACCCTGTTGCCCATGCGACGCTCAAGACTGAAACAAATTAAATTATTAAAATATTGGTGTCTGGCGTACATGACGTACATGGCGTCTGGCGCGCAACTGATGGACTCCGATTGCCTCTCAACCAATGGTTATGCATTCAGTGCATGCTTCAAACACGAATCACGTTTTGCGCTACCTAATACAGGAAGTTGGATAGAGATACTAGTTATTACGTATATAATATTATAACTGAACAATTGACGAATTGTGGCATAACAAAGCACGTGACTGCGGGTAAACAATATCAAACCGTGGATTTATATGCAAGAAGGCTACGACAAAGGGCCAAAATACGCGCACAAACGATATTTATGTTCTGAAAACGCTAAGCCGTTATCACGACACCTTTCGAAAAGTTAAGGTACTACAAGGGAATTAATCCGTCTGCTAAGGCGGCAATTTCGCACGGTCGTTTGACAGCCGCTTTGATGCCATACAAACGTCCCATGATACAATCAAGCGATCACGCTTTGAGGAGCATGCTTGCTGAATAGCAAAACTGTGTTCTTCAGAACAGTCTTTTGCACTTAAAAGTGTACCAATAATTACAACTAAGCTTCTGCATCATATCTGACGATTGCCGCAATATCCTCAAGCGTCGAACATTCTCTTTAATCAATGTCGGTGCAGGTACTGTTTTTTCATCATTCGTGCACTGTAACTTTTCTTTGCAGGAAATTGTAAATGATGATACGTCTTGTACACACGGAAACGATGACGTCTTGCGCAGTGCTAGGAAAATGGTTGTGCGTGATGTACGGTTTGTAGTTCTTTTTCGTAGGCTGGTGCCCGTGCCACGCCACCGATGCTGTCACGTGACGCCCCACCCTGAACAAAAGGAACGCCCACCTGAGATCTAACTCTTCAGAGTAACACCAACGTTACGTCGTTTTCGCAGGTATACGTTTATCGGCAAGGTTTTTCGATCGTGTCACACTCACACACTCTCTTTTTCCATCGCCGCATGGATATGACGTGCTACCAGGCACTGGGCCATAGATCATTACTGATCCGCCAGTTGCATTGGTATATCTTATCAAGCGGAATTATTCTGACATCTGGCAGGTATCTAGAATATGCTTGATTTTGCGACCGATGAAGGTACTTTCCTTGTTTTTATTACATGATTCATTGTATTATTTATCACCGAACACATAGCATGATTGTAGAGCTTGACAAAAGCCGGAATGAAGGGTTCCCAATGCCAATCCAGGTCATGACCTACATAATATCCAACTAGAGCTGTGATGGCGGAACAGAGCAGAACTGGAGAAGAAACCAGGTAGAGACAGCTACATAGAATGTATTTTTGTTCGCAAAAACCTTCCAATATATTCCGATGTGAAATGGGTATTACCAGTGGCGTGTGCACGATTTCGTAATTCGGCGGTACCGCAGCTCAAACTTGTTAGTAAAATCACGGCTTATTGCGCAGCAGGCGCGCCAAATTTCAAAAGTTGAGAATATGCATATATATATATATATATATATATATATAAATTGGAGTATGTCGGTAGCAGGTTTTTTCTGCGTTGTTGATTGTACACCACAGAAAATTCCGCGTTTATGACCATTTTGATCGTTTGTTTAAAACTTTGCATGATGTGTTTGTCGTTTTCGGTGTATCGACATATAATGTTACGAATATTTATATATTTGCCCAATGTTTCGATAAATTCCGTGGTTCTTTTCATGATATGCTCGAGATATTTGAAAAAGAATATTTGCATGCTTCATGCTCCGGATCCGGACAAATTTCTATATGTTTGAAAGCTTTACATTTTCACCACGTTGAGTAAAAAGGTTACAGGTTCGGTAGGTTTGCATTACGGAGAGGGGGAGCGGGGTCTGCCCTATCAGTCGTGTGTCGCAGAGTGTTAGTTGAGTGAGTTGTTTCTTTTGCGTGGTGATGGCACGGCTCCCATGGTATGGCACCTATCATCAACATGCAAAACAAACAACTCACGCAGCTACCACTCTACTACACGCTACTGATAGTACAGACCCTCGTCCCCTGTAATACAAACCTGCCGGATCAACAGCCTATTTACCTGATATGCTGGAAATGTATTTAGTGCATTAACACTAGTTCAGTGCATTAGCGAGGAACATTATTCACAGACATA